TTCTCCGAAGGAAAGCGTTCGTAGGATTTTTAGCCGTTAAAAATGAACGCCTTCGAACGGTTTAAACGCGCAAATTTGGGTAAGTCAGCGGGTGTACGCTTGAGTATACGCTGGCAATAACGGCCTCGGAAGCCGCCAAAACTAGGCAATTTTTTGAAATTGCACATGTCCTTATTCAAGATCTGTCTTTGAAGAACAGATTTCATTAAAGAAAAAAAATCTCCATCTTCAGTATTAAAAAAAACTTTCAGTATTCAAAAACACATTTGCAAATTTCGAAAATTTTGCGAATTCAATAACAATGACATTATATAAAACCTCAACGAGATTTTCAAAATTTTCTCAAATATGGCTCCAAATGTTTTGATTAAACTTTGTCTTTGGATAGCGCTATAACTGTTATAATTAATTATGTAACCTTTCTGTCGTTATCAGCTCTATTTTTTTTTTTACATTTTTTCCACTTATAGACCAAAGGATTCATAATATTGTCATGCATGGGAGAGCGTTGCATTGCATTGCGTTGCATATTTAAACGACTTCAAACGTAATATCGCGCATCCGACTGGATTGTCTAGCAGTAGAGCTCATGGGGAGTGAACTTGTGCGATTGTGTTTAGAGGCTCAGCGAGGTGAAAAAATGTTTGCTGGTTGGAAACACTCTTGCACATTCATGTACTTCCAGTGGTATAATTGTTAGAGTAGGTTACAAATGATGGGGGAAAGTATGTACTGTTGTAGTACCACTAGTTTTTTCAATTAGGGAGGGGGAGTTTCATCCTTTACGGTGACAATAACTTCAAATCATTAGAAACATAGTATAAAATTATCACATGCATTTTTTTAAAAAATATTAAAATTAAATATGTTTAAATAAATTTCATTTCGTATAACTCGTACAAAAATGTCACAGAGCAGATCACTTGCCCTGCCCTAATCTAACGATTCTATTGCTCCTTACAACGCAGTTTCAAACATGAATCATTATATTTTTGTTCCTTTTATATTAATAACATTCTAAATACTTGTTTTCTTTTGTTCGTTGATTGTTATGCGACTCACGTGAAATCAAACAAGTGGAGCTACAGAATGGCACAGACTTTCCCATATTAGTTGTCTATTTCCTTTGGTCTCGGCTAGCTACTCGGACTTGCCGGATACGCTTTCCAGGCAAATATAAATATAATTTTTTTTACATTTTCTTAATTTTTCGATTTCCTAATGGTTGAAAATATAACTTTTAAGGTTATTAACTGTAATGAACTGTAAAACCTCGCCCTAAATAGCAATTTTCTTTGAAAAAATTGTAGCCGTTTTTAAAAAAACTGGGGTTTAAGCGCTACTGTAAATTCGAAATTTGATGCTTTTTCACAGACAATTTCCGAGCAATCGAAAACCTTCGTTTGAATTCATTTTAAGTACTTTAACTCCCAAATACAATCGTGTTCACGAATTGCTGGAAATGTGCATATCAACGGCGTAAGAGATCTATAAAAAATATTGCATATGTGTATTTTGTGAAAAAACAAAAACCTACCCTGAAATAAACTTTACCTCATATTAAAGAGATCAAATAGCACCACCCTTTCGAAAAGCTTGAAGGAAAAACTGAGAGCTATTTTGAGAAAATGTCGTTTGAGTATTTCTGAAAATGCGGAATTTTTGAGCTAGTTTTCACAGAACACGGGTGAGTTTTCGAGAAACTTTATATGACATTTTTTAAAGAACATGTACTCATAAATACAATAATGTGAACAAATTGCCTCTAGTATAAATATAAACATCAGACACAAGTAAAAAATATATTTTTGTAATTTTTGAAAAAACAAAAAAATAAAGAGATATGACGTTTATGTTATCATAGAGTGCATTTAGCACTATTTCAACTATAAGTTTTGAAAAATTGGAGCCGTTTTTGAGGTAAAAACCTTGTTTCTGTAATTTTTTTAAATTGCACATAATGCTAAATGACACTAAAATTTTTAAAAAATGTACATGATCTTATTGAAAACATTACAATGGAGAACAAATTTTATTTGAAGGAAGAATCTCGATCTTCAATTTTGTACTTGTAACCCTGAAAATCGGTCTTATGCCACCTTTATGTGTCTTTTACTCTACTTTTACAAGAAATTTTTAGAAAAAATTTGGAAGTTTTGTTTTACCTTCCCCACTCGCTAGTATTTAATTGATTACATTGCAAATTCACATTCGTCTACATCACCTAGGACTTGCATTCTCATGATTTTTACCTGCCAATTCCTTTTATGCTCAGACGTTATCTCCAACGTCGTTCTGCATACTTTTACGCACACGTATGATGTGGTGCAATACGATCACGAGGTTGCAGTGTTGAAAATCGTTCACTTCGATTGGCTGGCGTTTTAAAAGTTCTGAGTTCATTAAACTTGGGGCTAGGTCTATGATTTTTATACGTTCATACATTGAAAGTGTTATATATGTGTGTTTCGAAGAAGTCGGAGAAACTATTGGTAGGCAATCAAAGATTTGATAGCAATGACAGCAGTCAAGCTCATCTGACAACACTGTTATCTTCCCTCCCAGCACCGCGTCATAGGTAACCCATGAAGTGAGAATGAATACGTCATGATTAGACGACGTAATGACATAAACAGTTTTCGCATTCGTTGCCAGAAATAAGTCGCAACTGTGTGATGGCAGAATGAGGAAAGGCCTAACAGCAAAAGTCATGCTTGATACAACATTTATATTGATAGTAGTTGACTAGTGAATAATGTGATTCAAAAGCTGTTTTTTTTCTATTAGGCGGCGCATTAAAAGCTGTGATATAACATTTTTTTAATATTATTTTCATTCGCTCGCTTTGGAACTAGGCAAACACAGGCGTACTCCTGGAACTGTCAGAGGTTTTCTAATTCTCGGGAAATGAGCCACGTAAGAACTTAGTATCATCTCAACATCAGGCCTTGTGGATGAGCAATGGAAACAGATTGAAGAATGAGGTTTTGCCCTGGACCGTGGTCCATTGTTTAAGATTCTCTGCCGTCATTAACTTTTAATTGCCATTAAACATTGTACTATAATTCCATTATTACGAATATATAAATACTTATAATAGCGTTTCACATTAATTATTGCATAAATGATGGGTTATCAAAATTATATTAGTCTAACTAGACATAACATTGAATTTTCCCCAAGATCTTCCGTTAATAAATAATCGAATGTTGTACTTTGCAGCTTTGTTGGTGCTATGAAAAATTATCACAATCTATCCCTTTACCTGTCCCATTAATATTGAGCAAAACGTTTTCGATGTTGACATTTTGTATAAAAAATGAATTAAAAAAAAACCCTTTGCCCTTTCTATCATATGACCGTCAGAGCCCGGTCGTCTGTCGCTCAGGTAGCTATTTCCTGCTCGATCTATTGAAAGACCGGCGACAATGGCATACGCCCTCTCTGCATCTCTACCCCTGTGCATAGACATTTAATTGATCTGGTAGCAACGGAAGCAAAATGGGCTCGCTCACGACTTATGAGCAAAGCATTATAATTTTAAATCTAAATGAGAAGAATACTTTCAAAAGTAATGTATCAAGAAATTTGTAATGTTCTATTTATACCATCAATAAAATAGTCGGTTCTAACCTGTCGATTGGATGAACTCATAATCTACTCGACTAGCGCAAAAAGTAATATTAGTAATCTCTGCTGTTTAAACATTTTTATAGAATTAATACAATATCTTAAAGCACGCGCAGCCTCAATATACGTCAAAGCAAGTGCGCGAAAATGTGTTAATAAAATCAAGTTGCATTGGCACGTGGCAAAGGCGTTACTAATGAAACCACTCGCTTTTTTAATAACAACCTCTATCTTTTCGGTCGTTGCACCACTGGACGAGCCAGGTACTTGAATTATTGCACTGTACGACAATAAATAACTTTATTCATTTAGGAGTTGAATTACTTTGCTCCTATATGTATGTATAACACTTTAAATTTATAAAAATCTAAGAAAGGGCTAGTACCGGAAGCTGTGGGTGATAAGAAACTGTGAGGGAGTATCAGAGACTGGAATCGCTGATTCGATCCCGGATAGGAGGCAGCTAACATGTTTTTGATACGTTAAATACTAGTGAGTGTGTAGTCTGTTTCGTGATCGATTTCGTAGGACATATTGCTCTGATCAGTGACTTTCTAATTAGTACTTCCAGGCGAATGCAGAAGCAGCGTCTTCTAGGTACATGGGCAATGGACTGCGCACAATACTTCCTTTTCCACCCTGGCCCTACTCACAGCATTGGAGTTATGGGCTGATCCAAAGAGTACTTATACTCTAGGGCCAACCCACCAACATCAAAAAGTTCATTACCTAGTAATCAATATTGATCAAGGACAATTCCCAACAAATGTAGACGACCCGATCTGCACGTGTAAAGCTGCGTGAGATATTTTTTGTGTCTTGGGGAGGTAAACCAAAAAGTAAATCATTAAAAAAAAGAAAATATCTGGAGGGGAAAACACTAAACTCTCAATGAACCGTCAAAGTTCTTTGAATAATTCGAAAATGTATACTAGTTATTGTTTTTATTTCGAAAATTTCGATAATTCCTCAAAAACTATCGCCCAGAAAATCCACATATATGCCTTTAATTAACACTCTGCGAATTTGTTGACATGCACGTTTCTGTCGGACTGAAATATGAAAGCAATTATTTGCCTTGTAAGAGGGCAACATTGACTACAATTGAACACTAGTAAGAAAGGTTTATATATTGAGATAGGTAATGTGAACAAGTCAAAATGTGACAAAGAACAAAAGTGCTTCAACTTTATGGTTCACCTTGTTAAAAACACAAAAATATAAAAAACACTTTTGTAAATCAAATAAAAATTATTTTTTGTTCCTTCAAACATTTTTATATTCTAGTAATTTATAACTTCAGTACAATGTCCTCAATTATAATCCACGAACGTGTCGATAGATAAAACGCAGAATCATTCGCTTTGACGTATCACACTATCTTGGTGCACACGTTGTGATTGTAATATAGGCGCTCGCGTGCGCAGCTGCCGCCAGTAGTCTCGTGGACTTGAGAGAGTGCGGAGCTCTGTGTTGGCTCACCGGGTGAAGAGTTCTGTATGACATGTTGGATGCATGAGGTAAGTTGAAAGATATTTTGAGTATTCTGACTCCAACCCCATGGGAAAAGTTAGTTTTTGAATTGAACGTTTTCTGTAGTATTTGCCAGTTGTACACTATCAGTAATAAATGAACATAACCTTTTTAACATCACAGTAACGGTCTCCGTGTTGTCGTACTTTCTGTTAAGGCGGCCAATGTAAAGTTGTTATTAAGGAAATAATCGGATATTTGAGATAAATTGAGCATATTAGTGGTAGATACAGATTTTACATTTGATGTACATTCATGGATTTTATTTCCTATTTCTTGTCAAAACCGTAGTTATTTTACTGAACGATAGTTAAAGTAATTTACATATTATAGTGTGTATTTGATTTCAGGGAAATCAAAGTAACTGGTGTTGCCAACGCAAATATTAAACATTACTCCTGACATGATGAAGTTCCAAGTCTTTTTAACCCTTCTTGTGCTTTCTGTTGGTAAGTTTTTAATTTAAAAGTTTACATTTTCCAGTAAATGAAATTTAACTTCCATAATGTTCTAATTCAAAGGTTAATGTAAAAATATCAAGTATTATTTTGAAGTTACTATGAAATTTATTTTAAAAAAATTTTCCTGTTGTACTGTTATAAAATTTTTAATAATTTTTGAGTAGGTGTGATGAAAGACCAATATATGTGTGTTATTTTAATTCTGTTGATTTATAATTTAATTATCATTATTTTACTTAATTCAATGCACGATTTCAGCATTTTAAAACTGGAAAGAAGTTAGATTTTCTTGAAGCAGGCAATCAGACTGAAATGTGACTTACTGGTCTGTGTATGTGAACTCTTTATAACGTACCTCTTTGTAATATTCTTTGTCCTAAGATAACTTTAATTCTATCTTTGTAACCTGCATATGAAACCTTTAATTCAAGCTACTAAGTCTAATCAGGAAAAGCAAAGACAAATTCACTAATGATTATTGTAAAATTTAAGTCCATTGATAATTTCAGCCATAATTTGAAAGTCAAATTGCAGAGAATTATAAATAATCTAGTTCATTTGTCTGACAGTTAAAAACATAAAATTTATTTCAATGATGACTTTGAATTGAAGAATAGTGAATTTATACAAGATTAAATTATGTACTGTAAATAAATTTGTAATGGCAGAAAATTGTGAGCAAGTTTTGTTCACAGATATGACATTTTTATAACAAGGCACCTGAAAATATTGAGATGTAATGTGTAAATATCATTATATATTTATATCCTCAACGGATATTTTTTTACCAAATATTTTGCTTCATTTAGTGTTCTTGTAAAGATTCTTAAATTTTCTCATTAGTGAGAAATGTTTGCAATGAATGATCTTGTTTTGTAATAAAAGCATAATATTGCAATGTGAGTAAATCCATTTTTCTGATTGTTTGCCAAAACTTGATTTTTATTTAAAAATTGTATTTTTAATCATTGTATCGCTTCGAAATGAATGCTTGTGAATTATCACTCTAGCACTTATCCTGAACAGGCACAAAGAAAAGTTTTAAAAATAACTTGTACAATAGCTTATAGCTATTGTATATTGGACAGTAACAAGTTCATGCAACACTCAATATTTCAGTTTTGTAAAGTTTCAGGTACTCTGAACTTTTGTTTATCTGTAAATCATTTAATAGTTGGTATGCAGAAGAAGAAAATTGTTTTATGGAGCACTTTTGACTTGTTCAACATTTCACCTTTTCTTTTTTTTGTAAAAACTATTATACATCTTATATCAATGGAATTAGAACATTAATTACTCAAAGAAATTCCATTATACCAATTCTTGCATTTTCAGACTGTAACATGACATTTAAGTGTTTATCAACTCCTTGGTGGGCTTTAATTTGTGCAGTAGGTAATTGCATTCAATGTTGATGTTTGTGTAGGTATCTGAATCTTAATTCATTGCATGATGATGCAGCAGCTACTTGTCTTAATGTTTCTATAAAATATCATTGTCATGGACGTTGTTCAATTATTTTGTTTTCTCTGATTTTGGAGAAATGAAAATCAATTTGTGAAAATGTTGATAAAACAGCCATAAAAGGAAGTAAATTTCATATTTTTGAAAGTAGGACTACTTTGCTTATTGTGCCAAAAAATGAAACATGGTATATAACATTGTATTTTTCATGGCATTCAGAGTTCATGTAACTATAAATTTAGATAAATCTGTTGGCTATGTTCGCAACAATTTTTTGTGGGCGACAAAAATTGAATATCATATCTTTCTGGAAATACTAAATGAAATTTGTGGAGGTTTTGCACCAGTGAATAATAAATTTAATATAAAAATAATTATTAATGAAATATAGTTAAAATTAATTGTATTAATAAAACATTAATTTAACATTAAAACCAGTACCTTATTTGTAATAATAATGATTATTATTATTAATATTGAGGTAGATAGAAGAGAAACTTGAGAGATTTTGCAAGACTCTGAGTCATGTACAATCAATACTGTTTACAGACCTCAATACAAACGTAGAAGTGTTTGTTTACTGTAGTTCAGGCCCTTTTATGCTTGGATTGTACACTTTGCTCGTACTATGTGATCACAAAGGAATAATAAACAGCTCCTGACTGCCGTATTTGATACCACTTGCTTGTCTTGTTTATAATGTCCCAAGCATTCAATTACTACCCAAAAAATAATTTTAAAAATTTAGTGTGACGAAACAGCAGAGTATTGTTAATTTTAAATTAAAATGTACTATCCAGTTCATCGAGATTTCTATAAATGCGACTACAAACCATAGCATACATTGTGTTGTAATTCGATAGAAAAATCACTAGTAGGTATCGTGTTCAATATTTGGTGTGGCTCAACTTTCACCTTTGTACTTGGTACAGGTGGTATCTTGCGTCCGGCACAACGAACTCCCAAGCCCTTCTACAAGACAAGATTGCCCATAATTGCAGTGGAATAGCAATTAAGCGATCTCTGATGGATCGGGATAAATGGTCGTTAATAAGTCTGGTGAGAACTTTTCCCCGTGCAGGGATCCTCCGTAATAAACAAGTACTAAACCGCACATACTTTCTCGCATTATTTCTAACTAATGCAATTTTGGTAAGATTCAGAGAGTTAAACGATAATAAGACGTGCGGCATTTTTAATCGTCCTTTGCTCTATCCCAGAAATTATATTTTAAAAAATTGTCCAGAAACCTCTCAAAATCCAGGGATAAAACAAATGCTTCATTTTGTTGAATTTTCGAAAATTGCAAGGTTGTGTAGTATTGCTCTGGCCGAGCAACTGTAGTGGTGTAGCGGTAAAGTATGTCTTTACTCCATTTATGCAATGTTTGTAACGTTGCTTAATGAAGGTTACGTTTTTGGTTTTCACCGTCTTAGTCTATCATACCCTTTTTTGTATTCAACCCATTTTTCGAGGAATGAAATTAATTAATTTTGTCTGCTTTAAAAACACGAACATAGCTTCCTTTGTTTTTAGGAACATTGAAAGAGACTTGGAATTATTTGTGCCTCATTGAAAGAACTCTCACCAAGCACATTGCTTACCCAGAGCAATTCTCCAGTTTGGCGAATCCGACAGGGAATACGCCGTTGGTTTGAACGTACATTGTCTTATTTCAAATTGGAAGCATATTAGGGTAAAAGCATCGATAGTAGCAACGATGAATAACATTTTCGCATTTTCTTAAAATTCATTTATTATTAATTCTGTGACAAAATAATTGTTTAAAAATTCTTTTCACGCAAAATTACGCGAAATCTAATCATATTTTGGAAAAATTCTATGTGAACTTATTTCACGATGCCTTGAAACAACAGATATTAAGAAAAAATATATATATATCTTGAATATTGAAGTTATACGCCAAAAATAGTAAACTTTTGCAATTTCCGAAAAATCAGAGATATATAAACTAAAATGAGAGATGCTATCCAAGGACTAAGTTTAATCAAAACATTTGGAGCAATTTTTCAAAAAGTTTCGATAACGTTAACGCTTCATGTAAAGTACTCTTCAAAAATCAAAATATTCGTTTTAAATTCGCGGGGCATTCAGTTCGTTCATATCGATAGGAGAATATCAATTTTGGAGAAAATCGTCTGAACTGTTTAGGCGCTAGCGTTGACCACAGACGAACAGACGTTTTGCCGTTGACCAATTTTTCGGTATCAAGGATCCACAAAATATGGTTTATGACCACACAACCTTTTAGGGGAAATAATTTTCTTCGTATTGGGTTGACCCACTTTTCGTAACCAGGGCCCTGGAATAGGAGTGTTTGTGTGGAAGAAATGCCGAGGCGAGAAAGTAAAAATATATAAGAAACGAATTATTTTCGTTCTACTCCTCACCTTTAGAAGTTATAAGCACACCATTCTGCGAATTTGTAGCAGACAGGAAGTCTCTAACAAATTTAATCTGGTTTTTGTAGTGGGCGACTGTTGTCTTTTTTCCCTACGTGGTCGAGCTTGAAAACATTGCAGTTTATTCGTCGTGTATGCTTTCGTTAGTATATCTGCTACGTCTAACGGTTCTTATTTTTTTCCCGTGACGTCGCTTATGTATTTTATATAGTATTTAAAAATTCATTTCAAATAGTAATTTTGTGTCAGCTTTTATTTCTGGTTAATTTTCTGTACGTACTTATTTCTTTTCCGTTATCATTCTGGTCTTGTGTTGGGTATTAGTTTTGTTCTTATTTATGGTTTGGGTGAATTTAGTAAATTACATTATAGGCCTAAAACAGCGTTTATAGTTTTAAAATTAAGTTGTGTAAATCAACATACTAATTAGCTGAGTACTGTGATGTCGAATACTGTGAAAAACGTTTGGACGAAAATTGTGAAGCACTTTTCGAGCTCTGTGGATAATATTTACATTTTATTGGTTAAAGAAAGATAAAAACTCCACTCGTCTTCTCAATCTTAATTGTAATTTTCTGTAATAACAGAACACTATTGCGGCTTGGCGCACATTTAATCACGCCATTGCGAATACCTGACGTTGTAAGTGGGATAGTTGACTGTGCATCAGCAGACTGCAGGAAAGGATGACTGCTGTGGTCATCATATTTTTGAATTATGCGCTTGATTGTATTTGCGATCGAGTGAAGCAAGAAAAGTCAGCAGGATAATGGAACATCCCAAATGAGATGATTCGTAATGACTTTCGTTTGAGAATTAAATTAATATTATACAACAAACACACAAAGCTTGCACAGTTACGATATTTCGGCAGCGGAGTTCTCTTTCTCATTTTAACTATGCAATTTGTTAGATTTCAGAATTTTTAAACCACTCAAATTTCAAAAAATGATACACGACATTATTTAAAGATCTCATTTTGAAGAATATATTTTATAAAAAAAAAACTGTCGTGTGTAATATAGTTGAGGGAGTCAAATATTTGTTTACACTCGAAATTTTGAAAAATTTAGAGGTGTTAAAGGAAATCGAACCTGTGAC